ACTTTGCTAAAACAAGTATTTTGGAACTTTGATAAAATATTAGTTCTATTTTGGCTAGTGCTGGCTTTTAGAATATAAATTTTCAATTAGCAATAATCACACAAATGTCTTATCTTGTTCCTAATCTTGCTTCCATTAAACAGCGTGAAAGAGAAATTATTTCTACCCCTGGGCACATAAAATGTCCCATCATGGGAACAGAATCAAACAGGGCAACAGCTCACGGCTCGGATGCACACAGCACAAAGCTACGCTAGCAGAATAAGAATCAGACATATATATAACCTTTCTCCTGAACTGCAGGGCATTAACAATGCCCCAAAACACATGGCTTCAGCAAGTTTGAGCAACATGCCATATGGTGAAAATTGTTATATAATTTCTAAGTCAATAGTTTAGAAGCTCTGGGCCTGGAAATGTTCATGTCCACATTGATCCCCAGATATGCCACCCCCAGACAGGTTTGTTGTTTTTTTTTTTAAGATTTTATTTTTGGGGTGCCTGGGTGGCTCAGTCGGTTACAGATTTTTTTTAGTAATCTCTATGCCCAACATGGGGTTCGAACTTACAACCCCAAGATCAAGATTCAAGTGCTCTACCGACAGAGCCAGCCAGGCGTCCCTCACCAGATTGGTTTTAATTTTTGGCATGAAGATCTGTAGAAAAATAGGTTTGTGAAAAATATTCCCCCACTAGGAAGAAAACTGAAACCAAGGGGACTGGAAGTCACTGTTATTTACCAACATGGCACATTTTAGGCAGTGATGAATCATGGACTGATTCATTATCAAGAAGGCCTCAATTACAATCGGTAGTGATTTAACCATTTACAAAGGCCTATTATCTGCATGACACTTTCAAGTGTTGTCAGTATTCACTACAATAGCTTTATAGTCTTAAACGTGTATCTATGTCTGTATGTACGAAGATCCCTACAGGGAAGATAAAGAGTTTATGTAGAAATATGCCAAGCTTTGAGTGCCTCATTTTTGCAGGTTACTTGTTTTGTTTCTGTTTTCTTCATCCTGGCACAAGTGCTTTTGCTTTAAAGACTCAGAATTATCTGCCAGACAAGCATTATTATGCCTACCTAACCCAAAGGTTATAATAAGAAATAAATACAGTTAAAATGTAAAATGTCTCAGAGCCTGATTCAGGGCAATTCAAACCGCTTAACAAACAAGTCTTTGACTTGCCTCTGAAAAGTCCATTACAACAGCTGTGTGGCCAACATAAAATGTCTGATTCATGCTTTATCAGAGAGCGAGAGGGGGTCTGAGATCACCCTGGGCCACGTCTCCTCCTCCCACAGATGAGGAAACAGATCCCCAAAGGTGAGCAGCTGGTGGCAAAACCGAGTCTCGTCAATTCCAGTGCATTCTCTTTCCACAGAGCTGACGCTACTACCCTCAGGACTGTGACAACGTGACCACGACAAAGACGGTAAATTGTAAGTGGCTTACGTACTTTCTGCGGACAGGTCATTTGGTCCTCAAATCAACCCTAGGAGATGAGAATGATTACCATCCTCATTTAACATGTGAGGAAACAGAGGGGCAGTGAGATTCAGTGGCTCCCCGGGCGGTCTGACGTAGGAGCCCACATTCTCCCTCCCAGCACTCCAACAGCCCGCTGCCATGCCATCCAACACGCTGGAGACTTGGGTATTTCTACGTGGGACAGCCTGAGAGTGAAGGGTGCTGTGGTCACTTTTAACAAATAGTCAAACAGAACATTCTGACACACCGCGTGAAACTCAGCGCCCTGCCTCTCTTGGCTCCCTCAATCCCTGTGCTTTCAAGTCTTTCTCTCTCCGCTACCCCTCCTTCTCTCTGCCCCCCAAGTTTTGAGAGCCGCCTCAAGAGCTCTTCGTCAGTATCAATGATGCCATTATTCACTGAGCCTGACAAATAGGTCAGTTTCAGGAAATCCATGTTCCCCCTTTTCCATTTCCTCTATTTCCCATCAGAGAATGAAGGCTTCTATCTTAATGTTTCTATTCACCATTAAGAAGGAATTGCTACTTCTTTTTTAATGAAGAGAAAGGAAATCAAGTTAGTATGAAACCAATCAACAAATCTACCAGTAATATACTTAGTAGGCAGATTATTTACAATGGATACAAACAAACCTGAGAATAGCTAGAAAGAATTTTACTTTTTGCTAAGGTGGTCACTGGATTGGCACAATAATAGGGCTGTCTAAAGAATAAGAATTTCTCCCCATGTTTCAGAAACAGACATTGCTCTATGAGCCGAGAGTGCTGTATTTCAGGGCTGAATGGAACATGCTATTTGATGTGATCATGCAAATTAAAAGTAGTAAATTTATTAGGCTCTCAATAACTTTAAAAATCATTTTTATCTTTTTAAATATTTCTGAACATACTAATTTGTAATGCAGAGCTCCAGAAATCTTTAGTTTCACATGTCAATTTTATCATCTGTACTTATAGTTATTTCCCATTAAGTTTGTTCTGGAGCACCTGGGTAGCTCAGTTGGCTAAGTGTCTGCCCTTGGCTCAAGTCATGATCTTGAAGTCCTGGGATGAGTCCTGCACTCGGATCCCTGCTCAGCGGGAAGTCTGCTTCTCCCTCTCCCTCTGTGCTCTCTCTCTCAAATAAATAAATAAAATCTAAAAAAAAAAAAAAAAAGTTTGTCCTATATTCAGGGATATGTGTTGATACAGTGCAGAAGACCAGAATGGTCTCTGTGGGCAATAAGGGAGAATGTGATTCTAGAAGACACGACAAAGAAAAACAGCCCCGCTGAAGCATTATTTAACCACATCACTGCAGTAGCCCCTGTTCTGTACCATATCAGTCAACCAATAATCAGTTTACACTAAGCTCAGTTTAGACTGCAGAATTCTGTTCAGCCCTTCCGGATTTTGCCCTTCCTTGGGTTTTCTATAGCACTCAAAATCTATAGAACAGTTTAACTCAATATTATCTCAAAATGTTTACTGTTGTTTGTTAGGCACACTTTTGCTTTCCACCCAACTTTTTGATTTCTCAAGGGCTTTCCGAGGCTGCACACACAGTAGGGGTTTCATGGATCCTTCAGGAACTATTCTGAGACCCGCTGGTTCCCTGGGTTATAGAAGAGGAACAGCCCTGGGCCAGGTGGGAGTCACGGAGTAGAGGGTGAGGAAGGTAGACTGAGGATATATAATAAAGGACCCTACATGTAGTCCAAGGAGAAGAGATTTTCTCTCTAAGTGGTGAGGAGTCCTTCAAAGTATTTGAGAATTGCATGAGGAGAGTTCTACTTCAGGAACATCTCTCTGGCTGTATCTTGAGTAACATCAGCTGAACAAAGAGTGAGCTTTGTACCAGCCACAGCACTTGTTTCTGTTACAATAGGAAATCGTTTACTTTTGTAGTTTATTTAAATCCAAAAGCACACATCCAACACCAAAATACACAGTGGGCTAACACTCAAAGCAGACTGTTCTAGACTCTGTAGAATTTATTGTCTAAAGTGCTAATGGGCCAATAAAAAGACAAATTAACTACAACCAACATTAAGAAGTACTTATTCACTTCAATGAAATACATTTGCTAAAGGTGTAGGAATGATGTTTGGAAAGAAAAGCTCATTTACTCACTGTGAGCAACGGAAGAAATTTTCCTAGTTTCAGATTAACTTTTGAAAAAATTATATATGAAATAATTTCTCAACAAGTTTGCTTTATGTGGCAAGGAAAGTGTTGTCAGGAAACAAAATTCCCTACAAGCAAGTGATCTCCTTTTGCTTTCTAGTGTTGTAAGACCTGCATCCTCTCCATCCATCCCTCACTATTCTTTTTAAAAAGCAAATGAGAAAGTCATTCAGCTGATGTTCTTCTAAGTAGAAATGAGGAGAAAACATTCATTAAGACTAAATACCTAGGGTGCCTAGGTGGCTCAGATGGTTAAGCGTCTGCCTTCGGCTCAGGTCATGATACCAGGGTCCTGGGATCAAGTCCCCCAACAGGCTCCCTGCTCAGTGGGGAGCCCGCTTCTCCCTCTGCCTCTCTCTCTCTCTGGCTCTTATGAATAAATAAATAAAATATTTAAAAAAAAAAAAAAAAAAGACTAAATACCTGATGGGGCACCCGAGTGGCTCAGTCATTAAGCGTCTGCCTTCGGCTCAGGACATGATCCCAGGGTCCTGGGATCGAGTCCTACATCAGACTCCCGGCTCCAAGGGAAGCCTGCTTCTCCCTCTCCCACTCCCCATTTGTGTTCCCTCTCTCGCTGTGCTCTGTCAAATAAATAAATAAAATCTTAAAAAAAAAAAAAAAAAGACTAAACACCTAAGGAAATGGGGACACAATCAAAAGAGTAGTAATCAAACTTCCTCCACGAACACAAATGCTTCCCTCCTGAGCTAAAGCAATTGTGATAAACTCCTTGGAAGGACCAAGACCCACCAAATAATAAATCAGTAGTCATCTGTTTTCAATGGAATAGGGATGCAATGCCTCAAGGAAGGAACACTAGCAAAACGTGGGGCTAGTTCAGGGCACATTCCCTGTGAATGTGTAGTTTGTATCACCAGTGACTATTAGAATATTCAGGACGTGAGTGGGTTGTGGAAACCAACAGCATCTGTGCTTTGCTTATATCAATGGACAGTGAATTTCCAAAACAGCGACAAGGAATGACATGGCACATTAAACCTCTTCTTCATGTGATAATCACAACAGCTACCATTTCTGGCTGGAGATGGTGCCCCAGTATTTCTAATTGTTGGAACACCTCTGAAGATACTAATACCCCCTTTACAGGGAAAGAGCCTGGTGCTTAAAAATAAAAAAACCCGTCCATGACTTCTTAGCAAATTAGTGGCACAACCAGATCCTGAAATCAAATCTTGTTGACTTCAAAGCCCACATGCTAGAATTGGAAAGAATGAATGTGAATTTTATGGGGAAAAATAGAACTGCCGAATAAACAAAACAGACGAAGAGGACTGAGGCCCAAAAACCAAGTGAAGAGAGAGAGCCAACTTACCAGCATATTTTGTAGTATTAGATTCATCCATGGACCAAAAGCAATAATCAAAGGCAAATACCTGAAAGAACAAATTATTAAAGATTAACTTCTATGAGTAAATCAGACTATAAAAAAAAAAAGATTTGCTGATAAACATGAGGGTTCTTGCTACTGTCTGATTAGAAAAAAAACACTATAGATTTAATGCTTTATTAATCCTAAAGCTTTTTTTGGACTAAATTGTTGGTTATCTTACTGTATTAGAGTGAGTTGCATACGAAAATTGCTATTTATCCAGAATGCGAACGAGACATCTTAACCAAAAAAGTATTTTTAATGCTACATTTAGTAAGAAAACAAACAAACAAACAAACAATGACTTCTCACCCAAGTCCACAGTTCCCGCATCTGCTGAAGCCCTTGGCTGGATTCTCATGGCTTTGCTAGTAACATGAAAGTGATCAACTTGCATTTTAATCACCTCCTTCTAGCTTTCTGTGATGCTACCATTTACAGCCAAAGTTCCAAACTCCCCACATTCCCACCTTGGACTCCATCCTCTCTTTGTTTCAGCATACCATCTTAGGCCAAGTCTTGTTAACAAACCAGTAACTCTTGGGTCCATTCGTTTCCTGTGGTTACGGAATGACCACTACGTATCGGGAAACGCTGATGTGTCCTGCATTGGGATTCTCATCCAATCACTGCTTCCATGCATATGACCGCCACTCATGTTCCAGCCATCATTTGCAGATGTGTAGGGCAATGCTCCCCAAAGTGTGCTCCAAGAAACAGTAGTTTCAGGAGATATTCCATGAAAAACGATTAAACTGTGTTGCCAATGGTGTACATTTTACCGTTTGAGATCCTCAATGCAATTCTCAATATGAAAGGTTCTGAAAATTTATCCAGCAAAGAAACTCATTTAAATGCTTAATTTTTTATTTCTCCAGTTCATTTTAGTGAAGAGACCCTTTCCTGAGTAACACCTATTAACATGCCTTGAAACTACTGTTTCTCGGTGTACCCCCTTGGCAAACTCTGGCTCAGAGGACTCAGCAGCCACTTTCCTGGGCTCCCTCTTACAGTCTTTTCCCCTGGCAGTCCAAACAGCAAATTACAGACCTCCCATAGACAGGAACCCTCTAATGCTTAATCATTTCCTAGGGACTATAAGCACTGAGCAAACAGAACCCAAACTCTTTGACCTGGCATTTGAGACTGGCCACAACGAGGCAATTCCAGCCCCTGTCCCCCAGCTTCCTTATGCTTCCACTGAACTTGTCTGTACCTTGGAAATGGGAGGACCGATTCCACCCCCTCCCTGTCCTCCTCTTCATTTACACCCTTCAAAATGTTTCCTATTTCTTAAGGCCCGGTTGGACGCAATTTTCCCCCAGGAAACACTTCTCAGTTAAATCAAAGGAATCATCTCTCTTCCCAGAAATCTTACAATGCTATTTAATCCTTTTTCTTGACACTCTTATACCAGTGATTTATCAGGTAGGTGATCCATGCATACCTTTTACCTCCACTGGTAGACGAAGTTCCTTGAAGGCAGGAACCATACCCAATTCCTACTTGTATCCTACAGTGTTCACAGTAGTTATTTAGTTACTTATTGAATGATTAATGGTACTTGAGACCTTGCAAGAAAGCAGGTACTTTCTAAATCCTAAAAAGACTGAGTTATGTTCTGAAGACATTCAGCCCTGCATGCACACTGTTAACAACCCATGCAGGTATATACAACGTACACGGCTTGTATCATCGATCTCAAACCCAAACAATTTTGCTACTTATACACACTTATTCACTCTGGTCTTATAGTAACCAAGGTTACAACCAACGGTAGTTTCAGCCAACGGAGTGTGGGATGTTTACGGCACTTCAGGGCTTTTCCGGTGACTCGAGAGACCACACAGGCGAAATCCAGTTAATCTTCCTGCCGCTAGGCAGCACTAAACTTCTCCTGAGACAGGATGATTTGACTTGTTTTCAAACGTTTCCAGATAAGGAGATTCCACAACCTAGCTTTAATGGCATCTTACAACACTTAAGTTCCATTCTCAGGACATTTTTCCCTTCCTTTTGACCTAAGTCAACTCTCCTTACTTTAAATGGCCAAGAGAGGCTATTTTCCATTTTTCTATTATCTCGTTTTCCTCTAGAGTCTCAATGAATTTCTCTTAGTAGTTGCTATATACAGTGAAATATCATTTATTCCCCGTATGTTGATGTTTCATACCTAAAACTTTCTTTTAACCATTTGCTACTTTGCATACAGGGCGAGAAAGCTAGGGAGGTACAGTCACAGTTATGCTACTTGAAATAAAATGGAATCCTCCCCAAATTTTGGGGGTCTACCTCTCAGTAACAATCATTCCCTATTCTGTGCTAATGTCCATTTCTAGCAGCTAATAAAGTCGGTTTTGCTCATAAAAAGGGAGAAAACAAAATTTTCGTTTTAAGCATCTGCCTCCTAAAATTCAGACAAATGTTAAAACCCCGCAGAGCAGTTTTAAAAAGAAACAAACAAACAAACAAAAACAAAACAAAAAAATTCCACAGAGGAGAAAAGGCCCATGATAGTACTGGTGAATATGACTGCTTTTGGCTTGCTACTGAACTCTCCTTGACCTGAATTATGTCTCGAATTTCACCACCTTTGATCACAGGCATTTTAGAATGGCCATTCCTCAAACCATGGAGTATAGGTTATTATTTTATTACATATTTGCCATTCAGAAGGCTAAAGCCCAGACGTCTGAGGGATTTCCCTAAAACTCAAGGCAAGTGAACAGAAAAATTCTTGTTATTTTTCCTTTAATGCAGGCTACAAGTGATCCTCCCTTCCATGAAATTCTACTGACTTCGGAGCTCCTGTGGCATGAGTTCACATGTGGTTCTTTTGGATGCGTCAGTTCTTGTGCGTGGGTCTTCTCTCCACTGCAACGGTGAGCTCCTTGCAGACAGGGACTATGTTTCGTGAACCTCATCATGCCTGGGTCAGGATCTCATACAGAGCAACCACTGTAAGTAGCATTTTCTCAATAAACAAACATCATACCAGCAGAAGGAGTTGGAACACAGACACGAGCACAGAACAGATGTGAGAACTGGTATGAAGAAGCAGAAGTTCGGGGCCCCTGGGTGGCTCAGTCGGTTAAGCGTCTTGCCTTTGGCTCAGGTCATGATCCCGGAGTTCCGGGATCGAGCCCCACTCTGGGCTCCCTGCTCAGCGGGGTGTCTGCTTCTCTCTCCGCCCCTCACCCTGCTTGTGCTCTCCCTCTCTCTCTCTGTCTCTCTCTTAAATAAATAAAATTATTTTTTAAAAAAGCAGAAGTTCAACTGTAAGATATATTTTTAGATGTTTCATTACTTTCATATGCATGTTTCTTTTTTCTTTTTTTTAGTGCACAAGTGGTGGGGGAGGGGCAGAGGGAGAGGGAGAGAGAAAATCTCCAGCAGACTGCCGAGTGCAGTGCCCAACGTTGATCCCATGACCCTGAGATCATGACCTGAGTTGAAATCGAGAGTTGGAAGCTTAACCAACTGAGCCACCCAGGCAGCCCTCACATGCATGTTTTTGAGTGAACTTGGTTCCTTCAATGGTCAAGTACAAATGTGGTCATGAGATGAGCACTAGGGTCCACTTTGGCACCGTTATTCCATGGCTCAGGTGGATAACAAGTATGGCCACATCATGTATAATTTGTAGCTTGCACAGAGATTAGAACACTTATTTGCTGTTAGAACAATTAGTTCTTATGATTGTTATTAAAACAGTTTCAAGGGTGTTCAAAATAATTTGTCTTATGGAGTCCAATCATTTCTCTTGCAATCTTGTTAATCCTATACACTATTCACAAACTATTATCCTTCTTTTCATGGCCAAATCTAATTATAGTTTAATCACAAAAGGTTTGTAACAAAAGGGGACATGATTTTCTTGGTCTTAGGGAAGTTTTGCTCTTCCAATACAAAATCCACTGACATGTCAAGAGATAATAAAACCATTTTCTTGAGAACTATTCCTTAGAAAATGACCACCTCAAATTAAAAAAAAATTCATTTTTTTCAAAGCCATCACATTATACTAAAGAAGTATGTTATTTAAGACTTCAAGCTCATTTCATTAAAATTCCTAAATGCATATTTCATCTATTCATTACGAAGTTACTAGCATCCCAACCGGAGCGTGGGAATGGGGGACTTCTTAAATGCATACAACTGACTAAAAAAATAAATCAAATTTGGAAACCAAGAATTAATTTCCTATTTTGTCAATGCCAATCCACACTGTGAACATTTTTTGTAAAGGCACCCATACCTTCCAAGAGCCTTCAATTAGATAGAGTCAAAAGGACAGATACTCTCCCTTTGTTTTTAAAATCTGAAAGCCATTATCTTCATTGTTTCCAAGAAAATTTTACTCTACCTTCTCAAACTCCTACTCCTTCCTCTTAGTTTGCAACTTGTAAAACTCCTACCAGCATTTAATTCCCTGCAGCTTGCTGTTCACCTTCAACGCTCTCTTAAAAATGTTAGCTTTGCATCTTTGTGAACTGAACATCTAGTAGTTACAACAAGCTGTTCTTAATAAGGTAAATGTGTTGAGTGATACATATTCTGAAGCAAAGGAGTCCCAGGACTTAGAAGTAGGATGCAACATAGTCAAACTCTGGTTGTATCTAAATGTCCTCACCGTAGTCAAACTCTGGTCCTATCTAAATGTCCTATGTCTGATGGCATTTCAACAAAATACAATTTTTTAAATGCAAGAAAGAATTTTCTTTGTTTCCTTGAAGAACCAGAAGGCATCCACGTTGTAAGAAACGTGATCTGTAATCATTTTCTGACCCATAAAAGCCAAACATGCAGGAACTTGCAATTCCAACTACCTTCCATTCATCCTTCCTAGTTGTGTGCTTTCGCCAGTAAGTTCTCAGTCGTACAATGACTAATCCACAAAGCAATCAACAAATACCTGTTTGCCACCCCTCTCAATTTTAGGTACTATAGGGAACTCAAATATGTATTAGGCATGTTGTTGTACTCTAGTTGTTTATAGTCTAG